TTAAAGATAATGCCCGATCGATCTTTCAAATATATTCATTATGTTTTTGAAATGGTTTATTTAAGGATTACGAAGTAACTCTGTGAGTTTCGCTGAGAACGATTTAATGATTTCTTGAAAAAATGAGTCAGTTAGATTCTTTACTTCTAGGTAATAATTTTAAATTTATTAACAAAACAAATAGGAAAACTTTCTTAATTTAGATCGAAGTATATTGGTAGCTAATCGTGCAATTGTGTTTCATATCATAGTGGTATCGAGATGAAAATCAGAATAGCGCAAAGTGATTTTTCGTTGACAGAGTTCTTTTTCGAAATCTGTGTTCAAAGTCACAGTTTGCTCGTTTACTGAGTATGAATATTTCGCGCCATATTTATTTGATTTCTGTTGTAGAATTTATGGAATTGTAACTAGGTAGCAACAGTAAAATATCCTATCAATGAAAAACATTGAATGCCAGACTCGATTTGAAGAGCGACAACTTGTTTTCATTTCAAAATATACAGTGAGTGGATCAATTTATTCACCTCCATTGTATTCATCACCAACTGACTACAAGAAACGAGCTCGACTTTAATTAAATGAGCAGGCAACTGCTAGACGTACACTTATGTCACTGCTTTTTTGTTCAAATGCGTAGACTAGCAAAATGATACGATTTTTAAGTTTCTCTAGAATTGCAAAATCACATAAATGTTAAATCGAATAGTTTGCAAAGACTAAGCTCAGAAATTAATATTTCTAGTGGTACAGCTAAATTGTTTTTATTGGCGATGATCCAACAAAAGTCTACTCCATATGTTCGCGATGATACAATATTTATTAAAATCATGGTTGATGTTGGTGATATGTCAAAGGCCTCGATCCATATCCAACAATTATTGATTAAAAAAGAAGTAATGCCATCACAACAATCAATTGAAACTGACTTCGACAAAGATCATTTCAATGGTCAGCAAAGTTCCACTTGAAAACTTCTTTTCTTAATATCATCATCTATTGTAATGAAGTGTTTTTTATTAGTTGGTGCTAATTTAGACTTTGATATGTTTATAAGTATTTCTACATTCAATTGCTTAATGAAATCATCAGAGTTGAAGACGGCTTTTTTTCAAGAATATTTGAATAATAATAAAATCAATATACCATAAAAATAGAGAGAGGCATAGTTATAATTAGAGAATCACATTTTAAAAAACATGATTATTAAAAGTGAATTAGCTTAGTTTTTCTACTTGCAAAATAAAATAAAATAAAAAATGTGGAAACTTCGGATTTTATCCGAGAGTTATGTGTACTGCAAAAAGGGTGTGGGTATGGGTGTGAGTCTCCGCTACCCAATCACCTACACCCTAGGGTTCAACAGGAATTCAATATAGGAATATGTTGAATATAGATCGACTTCAAAGTTTAACTCGATTGTAAGAGAAAACGATGTTTTTGTTCGATTTCTTGCAAAAGGTCAAGTGGGATTTCCGGATCTTTGTGACATAAGGCTTCTAAAGATCATACGGAACCTATGTATTCTACTGTTTTGAGTGAATATCTATAGGATTTCTTGAATGCTGCACATTCAGGCAACTGAAATCGTAAAAAATAATTTGATACTAAAATAAGTTTTGCTCGAATGCCGGTTTTTGATAGAAACCGGCTTTGACGAACTTTAGATCCGGAGTGGCACTGTAATGGAGCAGAAATAACTTGGTATAGGTGAATGTGAAGAGTTGGCGATGTTGATAAATGATCTCGTGAACTTAGAGTAATATTTAGTTAAAAGTTGGGGCACGGCATGCCTTCTGTCCTTACCCATAATGTTTAAGATGCAGAAATCCTGCTTTTGGATTTTTTCACTGAAAGTGAGCCGTAAATGATAGGCTTTGTCGCAGATGCTCTATTAAGGATGGAAACAGATGATTTATGATATTTCTCTTTGATAAATGATGAAAAACTGAAGAATCCTGGAAATGCGTCAGAAATCACAAACAGAAATCATAGAAATAATGAAGGACGTGTCAGATTATTATGAAGTATAGAGTTTTGGTTTCTGAATAAATTTTAGTATAGCTGTGTTGATAGAGTGTAAGTTTTAACGTTGTTCAGTATATCAGCCAGACTTTGCGGTATTGTTCCACTGTAACATTGAAAATGATTCGCCAGTTCAGGCAGTATTTCTTGGTGTTTCCATAATTTTTTCACATTAACTATTTGAATTTCAAGCAGGGGATATGCCTGAAATAACAGACTTGTGTAGGTTATGAGAGCCTTCATGATAGATCGATTGATAGATGTCTCTGCCATATAGGCTGGAATGAATCATATCCGTAGGTAAGCTCTATAGTGTGTGATTTATGTGTTGGTCTATGAGAATGCTCCTGGGTAGTTCAGAAAGTCACTGCTGGAGGGTAGGTTTTTCTCCGCAATAGAGAACTGTGGATGTGTTGCATTTTATTTTGATGTTCTATCTGTATATTCCCCATATTTAAAACTCATAAAAAAATCTTAGTTAAATGATTTTGCGGGCTTAGAAGGTGATGAAAATTATACCATTTCTATGTAATGGATAATAAAATTGATAATAAAAACTAGATGAATTTCTGAGGACAGATTTAGCCAGATTCTTCGATTTTTTAAGGTTTGAATCCTTCTAATAGGATTTTTCTTTCGTTAAAATCTATTCAATTTTCTCTTCTTGGAAATGATTGTGTTGATTTCTAATTTGAAACTGGATTTCTCTTGATTGCATGTTCGAATCGATTATTTTTTGAAAAACGATACTTCTTGAAAGAATATAACAACCACGGAAAAAACTAATGCAAATCGTATTTTTGAGCTAAAAAAAAAAGTTAATGGTCAAAATAAGTCTTTTTGGATATATATGAATATTACAAGAATAGACATTTATAATACAAATAAAAATCTAATATGAAGATACAAAATCTTTATATACTTTTTGATTGTGAGCTGATGTTCCAACGCGGTTGCACATGTTCCTAGTGAAATTTCATATGTTCTATCAAATGGTAATTTGAATTAACTAGATCTCGAAGCATTCTCCTACAATTTCGGAAAATCCAAAGAAATCCTGGAATTCCTTTTTGTTAAATCTGTCAATATTTATTCAAAGAAATATTTCAACTCTCACACTCATGTATCAAACATGTCTCAACAAATTTCATCGAATTGTAAAATCAGATTTTTCGTCCCCCTGATAATGGTCCCAAAAACTCAAAATAATATATTTTTCTATGAAATTCAAGCACCATATTCGATTAAAAGTTGCCAATATTCGCTAAAGGCCTTGTTATAAGCGTTTCACTCATGATATAAACACAAATCTAGGAGATCTATTTAATGATGTCCGCAGATTTTTCATAGCTCATAGTAGGATTTTGTAGGTTTCTTTGGTATTATCCTATCATCGCTGAAGTCTGATTTCAAGCTGCGGAAAATATGTGGATTCCACTGGATAGAGTTCGTCGAGTTCCACTTGAAACATAGATACGAGAATGGAACATTGGTAGAAATGAATATGAGCGAATTTTACAAAAAAAGATACCAGAGTTTTTTGGATTTTTCAAAACTTCCGGAGTATGGTTCAGGATCTCGTTAATCAAAATATACTACTCGATAGGGTATACGAATTTCTAGTAGTAATATGACTATGGACGTTGGAAAATTAGTTCAGATGAGTATCGACAGGTTTTACTCGAACACGATGCTAAATTCACCGACACAATGGTCACTTAATACTTTTCACTGCGATAGCTTGTGTAAACTATAATCTAAAAAATGCTACTATACTTTAAGAGAACAGCTAATCATCGTAAACGACTATTTCCTATGATACCCGTCAGTCGTTTACAGTTAGCGTTTAGTTACGACGGTTATTTACGGAGATTTTTCACGATCCTCATTTACGACTACCGTATTTCATTGTAACACTTCGTTTACGATCACAGTAAACGACTACAAAATACGGTCGCCATTTTTCACCGTGAGTGATAGGTATACGGCCGTTTACGACTCAGGATGATCGACCTGGGTATATATTTTACAATTTGTTTCAAGTTATATTATATTCGAATGAAATTAAAATTTACTCGAATTAAAATTACGTCATATATGAATATAAAAATCTGATCTATATTAAAATCATATTTGATTAAAATTCTATTATATATTTTCATTTAAAATAACATTAAAATTATATTTAACCCTTAATTATGTTCCAAAAGATATTAAAATATTAATCGGAATGACATTGTAATTATATTAGCACCTTTTTTCAAATTAGGTTTGATTTCAAGCTTTTATTTTTGTTCTTATCTTTTGAAATTCAAACCAAAATTGAATTAAATTAGAACAAACCACAAACAATTACAAACATTACAAAAATTAAACATTAACTATATCAAATTAATTAAGCAAATCGGCCTTTTATTTATATATATCGATTAGGCCCTATTATAGTACTGGTCAAAATTATAGAACTATGTAACAGAATTCGTTTGTATGAAAAATTTTATTTTTCATGAAGAAGTATTTTCTCTCTAGTATACCAGATTATATAGATTCTTATACGCTCTTTCAGAATACGATACTAAAACTTCATTATTTCATAAAAGTATAAGACAGTAAAATT